TATGGCGCGCAGTGCAGGAATCTCAAACTTTCTGCCCTTGTAGTGTAATATACTATTAGTCTCATTAGATTAGAAACAGTATAAAATATTCATAGCTGCTCAATTATTTTACTAAAAAGTTATTTAGACTTAAAACCGATCAAAAATAATTTGAATAGTAGATCAAATACAGATGAAAATGTTTTTAAAAGTTCAAATACAGGTCAATAAGTTCAAATGCAGATCATTTAGCTTAAAATCAGTTTAAATTTTTTGACCCGGGTACACATAATAAAATTAAATTGAATGAAAAATATTAAAAAATTTTATTAATCATAAAACAGACTAAATTTTTTGACCCGGGATTGGCTGGAAGTTGCAGGGATGGCCTTCAGGGTCAACCGTTTTCCTAATTTTTTTTACTTAAAATGATGATATACCGTTTTTTTTACTGATTATTCAGTTTACGGTTCAGTACCTTTTTCATGAAAAAAATAGCATCTATCGGCTATTCTCGACACGTCAACTTTTAAGTTAACAAAAATATAATTGTTTTGATTTATAATTGAAAAAACTTACAAAAATCATTTACTGTATCATTGAATAATTATAACATGCGCATATTACTCATAATAAATATACGGATTTTGTATTACAACAATTCGAAAAGTATGTTCAAGTACTGGTCTGATTTTTATCAGTGTTCAACTACTGGGTACTTTATTTTATGAATACAAGAGCTTTTTAGCGTTTTCCCAGGTACCAAATTACCGTTAATTATTTTAAGTACACCGATGATTTTTAAATTTATATTGAAGATGATCGAATTTAACTCAGATATTTTGCTACACATATTTCGCATGTTTTTTTTTAATGTTTAAATTTTTGAGTAATGCTTTTTATTACATAATGGCAATGATGATGAAGCACGTTAACTAATATGACCCAGGGCCGTTAGAAATAAACATAAATTACTCAAGTTGCATTATTAATGAACTTTCTGTAACCGCGTGACCAAAATAACAGACTGGAAAATGCAAATGTGATATTATCCATTACTATTAACCACATTAGTGTTCACGTTCATGTAACCACAACACGTTATATTTCTGCCGTCAAATGAATTCCATAGTTCGTTAAGAATTTATTAAAAAATTATAAAAAATTAATAGAATCATAAAGGAAAACATAAATCGTACGCTATACTCAAATTTAGTTAAATAAATCCTGCAGTGCACTTAATAATGTACGTTATAAAAATTTTATATTAATCAGAAGCGGTTTGTTGAAAATATTCCGTATTATTATCCATCTAATTTGTTTATAATTAATTTTTCCGAATGATGCGAAGCATCAGAGAGTGCTTTTAGATCGAAAAATTTTTTCACCTCACTTTGACAACTATTTTTATTATTATACCTTTGTTAGTTGACGGAATCAAGATATTTTGCATACTTTTGTTAAAATAATTTAATGGAAATTAATTCCATACTTTTCAAAAATCGATTAATTTTTTTTATTTATTCAATTTTTACACGGAAAGAAAATTATGGAAAATATTCCTATAGCAGGTAGGAATGGTTCCCATAATGGTTATAGGAATTATTTCTAGAATATTATAGAAATGGTTCCAATAATGGTGTAGGAATAGTTTCCATAATAGTATAGGAATAGTTCACATACTATTATGGAAATGGTTCCCATAATGGTATAAGAAACAATGAATTTCCATATATATTTTGCTCCTCTAATTGTATAGAGAGAAAATATCCCTTTTATTAGAGAAACTTTAGAATTGCAATCAATTTTTATTTACAAAAAAAAATTTATCAGCAAAAAATATATAATAATTATTTTATATTTTTGAAGTGATTGCTTCATTATTATGAACATAAACATTTCTCTATTATTATGTGTGTCATTCCCATAATATTATAGGAACCATTCCTTAAATAGTATAGGAACTATTCCTATAATATTATAGGAACAATTCCCATAATATATAGAAGCTATTCCATTATTGTGTAGGAACGTTTCCAATAAACTATGGGTATGGTTCCCATAATGAGCATAGGATTGATACCTGTAATGATCATTTTATAACAATTTAATAATGCAAATTTTAAGTGGTCTGATTTATATTTATAGTACACTATCTCGTTCCAGTTTCACAAAAAATTCAAAAGCATTACTCTTGAAGGAGTCCTGGCTGAGTGATTCTGTGGTTTCAGTTGGTAGTTTTCTCCAAAGTCGAATTGCGGAGATTACAAATGAATGTTCGAAAATTGTGGTCGAGAAGTTAGGCATTTCAAATAAAATGTTATTGTATTTCGCTGCAATTCTGTCAGATTTTCTGATCTCTGACGATTCTACTACAAAGATACTTTTGAGAAACTTGAGTTCACCCTAATTTAGTGCTATAGAAACGGAACAAAACATCAAAATAGTTAAAGAAATGTTCGTCCGTCAAGAATGAAACCCATAAACACTGCAACTTGCGAAAAAATCCATCAATTTCTAATTCTAACTACATTGGAAAAATTTTAATTTATGGATTTTCTTAATCGAATTGAGGTACAATGGTTGATCAGATTGGGTTTCGGTATATAAGAAAAAAATCAACAGAATTAGAAACATAAAAAGCAAAGTTCACAAAGAGCTATATCTTAGCCGAGATATTTCCTTCGAATCGTTAAATCTTCCACGTTATCTCGAGCTGTCGCTTTTCTCGTTGCCAATTTTTTTTTTTTATTTTTTTCTCTTTGTGACTGTCTATCTCATCCATTTCTTCATTTTTTTTTTTCAATGTATTTTATTATATTTTTTTATAATACTTATTTTTGTTATCTCGCTCATAATGACAAGTCAAACGATGAAACAAAATGATATTACATTTTCCACTTTGTATATGTTTGCATCGCGTATGAGTAGACAATCTTGTCAATCTTATGCTAATAAATAACATTTTTTTTTACAATATTGATTTTATTAGATTTAGCGCCTAAGTTTCGAAAGATTTTTCTTCATTTATTTTCTACATTTTTTCAATACGTGAAAACTCCTGTACATACAGACCGACGGACAGCAATAAATATTTTTTTTTGTAATAATATGAATTTCATTCGATCGGAAAGTATCGCAATTCAAAAGTTAAAAAAAAATTTAACTTAGTAATGATATTTACTGTCTTATTTTAATATTTCGTCGATATCAATAAGTTATAAGACTTACTGAAGGATATTAAGTAAAAAGTATTTTTAATATCATTGCTCGATATCAATACTGTCGATATTATAGAAAATATTAATAATAATAATTGTAACAATGATAGTAATAACAGAGTAAAGGAATAAAAACTTTTTGTGATCAAGCGTACTTTACGAATATTGATGCTAAACTAATAATAGATAAGCCAAGATTGGAAGTATAAATCGCAATATTACTTTTCATTATATACTTGTAAATTTATGTTCTTATTAAATACATAATAACAGTATATTTCATTCGATTACATCCGTAAATATTCTAAATATTATATTCCAGCAAAATAATATTAAAGTTCATAAATTGGTTATCCAGTCGGCTTATCAATTGTGGCATTACCAAGTTAACGATCTCGGTTACATACTATCAATATGTATGTGTGGAGGCTTGAATTTTCGGTATTACTAATATTCAATCGATTATTATTATTATTATTATTATTATTATTATTATTATTATTATTATCCAAATTAAATTTAATACTCTACTTTTTGATCTACAGATTGACATACTACCAATTTGTTTTTTCGACTAACATTACCATTTTTAAAATGATACCAAGGCAGGATTCGAACCTGAATTTTCCAAGTGCATGTAGAGAGTTCTACAACTTGAATTATTGGGTCTTACATCCTGACATTTTTTTCTCGATTTAATTTCAATTTTATAAAGACTATTCGGCAGCCGAAATGGAAGTATGGACTAATCATTTTCAAAAAGAATGCAAGAGTAAAATTCCATTAAATTGACAAAAAAGTAAGTCATTTTTGGCCTGAACTGATGGTGAGGTATGCAAATTGAAGTTTATTTAATAAGCTTTCAGATACAATTTACAAAAATTTTACAAGTTATCGCATTCATTAGTTATTTTGCAAATAAACAGTAAAAGTGTCAATTTTTAAGGATTTTGAAGAATTCAAATTTCTGTCATTCCTAAACTATTAAATTTGAAAAAATATGTACGTATTAAAATTAAAGCTTACTTAATAAGCTTCCAGATGCAATTTACAGAAATTCGATAGGATTTTGCGTTCAATTATTATTGCATGGAAATCCGGTAAAAGTTAACATTTTTGCGATTTAAAAAAAATTTTGGAATTACTGTTACTTCTCAACTAATCGACAGATTTGGCTCATGTTAAAACTTAACCTAGGAAGGGAGTTATAAAAGATACAGAGCTGGTAATATCGCATATATACATACATACATAAACTCTTAAACCATATCGACGGTCTTATTAGCAATTGGTCTAACTCCTTATTTTTTAGAAGGTGATTTTTTAACATTTTGATGTAGCAATAGTCTAATTATAAATTATTTGAATGGTCCAAACCAAAATATTATACTTTGTGAATACTAAGTGATAATAAATTTTGAACTAATTGTTTTTTCACTAAAATGGAAGATTTTCTAAAATGGAGTTAGACAAATTGCTAATGAGAATGTCGATATGTATTTTTTGAATCCGCTCGACAAGCTCAGTCGATATATAGCAAAATTTTTCAAAAGTTCCGTCATGAGGACCAATGCAATAGTTAGATTTCTATGAGTGGTATTAACCAACATAATTCAAATCAGTAATGCGGTAATTTGTAAATGGTTAAAAAAATATTTTCAAGTCTTACGTCTTTCTTAAAGCAAATGCGCGACATCGGAAGAAAAAGATACTTATAACTTCCTAGTGATGAAATTCAGAATTGACCAAGATCAAATTCACAATTTATTTCGAACAAAGCTTCGTAACTGATACTCAGAAAGAAAATTATACGAAAAATTACGATGAAAACATCGTAATTTTTAGTATAGGACATGATAGTGCTGGACTAGAACTCAAACATCACAATTTATACGATGCAACATCGTAAATTTTTTTCAAAGAATCGTACTGTTTAACCTTACGCACAGTCTTGTACACTACAAGAAAATCACCGAGAAATCACAGAGAATCACCTAGGAACCCGGGTCGAAAAATTTAAACTGATTTTAAGCTAAATGATCTGCATTTGAACTTATTGACCTGTATTTGAACTTTTAAAAACATTTTCATCTGTATTTGATCTA